CTTTGTTCTTCAGCCACAGAAGCTGGTGTTTAATAGAAAAGTCCAAAGGACACTTTCATTTCTGTTAAAAAAGTTATTCTTTTGTACTTTTCAGGGGAAATACAGCTGATGTTTTGGCAGGACAGTAACGTATGCAGTGACCAAAAATGCAGACATTCATATTCATTCTCACAGAGCATTTCGTACTACTAGTGGGTTTTGAAAACCTGCATGGTTGTAGCATCCGATACGTTAACAACGTGCTGCACGTGTGTTGATGGCACAGCCGGTGGCAGCTGAGACACACCTCGTGGCTTTAACCAAAACCGAGTCAGTCGTTTCTGTCCAGATTGATGATGAGTCGAAACCAAAGGCCAGTTGTGGATGTGACCAGTTTTAAAAAACAAAAACAGAAGAACATGTCTCATTAGAAATGAAATAATACTTTAGTATTCCAGAGAAAAATCCTGTGGAGAGAATAAAGAGTGAACAATCACATCCCTGCTGGTTCTTTAATCTGTCTGAAAACACACTGAAAGATGGGAGGAAAGGAAAACTAAGAGACTAGCAAACATTCCACAATGCCATGTCATATACTGTACAGCAACCCTGTCTCCTCCTCTTCCCTTTCTCTCCCCCTCCCACACCCCCTGTCTGTCTCTCAGTAATCCAGTAATCACAATACTACAGTAATACTTTGGACCTGTTAACACATTAACTCATCTTTATGTAAGTCAGTACGTAATCCTTAATAATAATCAAAAAAAGAAAAAAAAATACAAGAAGTGCCGTACAAATAGAAGCCTAATATTTTTTGTTTTTGTTTTGTGTGAGTGTACTGTACACCTGTATAATGTATATTTTAATATTTATATGCAGCTGTTGTATTAAAGTATATTTTTAAAATAAAACACGAGTTTGTTCTTTTTATGTTTTTGCAGTATGTCGGGTTAGAAATGAAGCATGTGGTGATATTTCCTGTATTTAATGTAAAACTGTATCTGTGCTAACTTTTTTTAACCCTTTCGTTTGTTTTTTTTCCCCCTTCTTAGTGTGGCAGAGACAGTGTTATCGATTAATGTGCTCTTTATTGTTTCTCTGAGTGGCAGCCACAGTCAGGATTTGCATTTCCCTTTAGGGATCCTGAAAGGTTCACAAATACTCAACAGCTCCCCCAGCAGGCCTCACAGGGTTAGAGTGGCCGTTATTAATGTTTTTACATGATATCATAGCGAACACAAATGTTTAGGAAACATGATAACGTGAAGCAGACAGTTAGAAACAGAAAGACTAACAGTAGTCTGGCTCACATTTCTGTTAGATAAAACCAACGCTTCAGAGATGAGCAGAAATACTGAAGTATACGCCTGCAAACAAAACGTTAGAGATAGAATCAGCAAGGGAGAGTGATACACTGGGAACAGTTTTTATATGTTTTTTTTTAAAAAGCCATTCAATTTGCAGAAGAAGATGCCCAGAACCAACAGCTTTTGGAGCTTTCGGATGAGTCCAAATCAGCCTACATAGAAAGATTGTGTGGAGGAAAAAAGCAACTGGAATACTTCCAGACAGAAAATTTGGATGCAAACCTAAACAAAATTTACCAAAAAATTTTACTTAAGTAACAGAAAATGATACTGATCCAAAGCATATCAGCTGACAGTGTGTTAAAATGTCCCTTTTATAATCCTAAATCCCCCACCCCCAAGTTTAAAGTTACCAGTTCTTACCAGACCCTCTGTCGGCCGTAGCATAGAGGCAACTTTCACCACAACTATTTCAGAGATGTCTCGATGCATGCTCAATGATCCAGGTAAGGAAATCCCAAAAATGGGATCTGGATGTAGCAGTTTCAGTAGGAGAGACGTTCGGTCAATCATTGAGTGACTTTGCTCTCTCTTCGAAGAGAAAGGGAATGTCTCAGACGAACAATGGGCTGTGAGGACAGTTTCTTGATTATTAATATCTGTTTTATATTATTGTGAAGCACTTTGTGGTTTATATCCTGTGAAGAGTGCTATATGAGTCAGTAAAGTAAAATAAGTTAAGCAGTATGCAAATTGTCATTATCATTTATCAACAACCACTGATCAAAGATCAGTGATGTCATTGACCACA